ATCTGAAATTGCAAGTATATTCAGTCATTTTCTCTAAGCAATTTTTACACACCTCATTTCCTTTTCATCAGCAATGTTTTGTAGCAGCAGGTATAAAGTGTAGGTTGACTATGTAAAACTGTCTTGGACACAGGCTGTCATTTTGCAAAGTCCACTGAATAATTGGTATCTTTAAAAATAATATAATAAGGATATTTTAGGAATAAACCCATTCCCTGAAACTCTTATGTATGTTCTAGAATATACTTCTGATTTAAATTTTCTCCAAAAGTGTCATGGAATTATAAAATCCAGATCACCTTTCTCTATGTAATGAAGGGCATTTGTGATGTCTGCCATTACATACAAGTAAAACTGCAAATAACACAGTTTGCAAAACACACAAGTTTTGCTTTATTCACTTAGTATTTTTAAAGGCATTGAGCTAAGAGCTATGCAGGGGATAAAGGAAATATAAGTCTCTGAAAAAATATTACCTAGTCCAGAAGAGAAATGCAATTTATCTAAACTGGAAGGAATGAGTAATACAACATAGTATAAAATCAAATTACCAGTGTAATGGTGCAAATCATGGATTCAGAAGGTGGAAACATTTATAGTCTTTTCTAAATTTAGTACTTGATTACCCACTATCTTGTTCTAAGTATTAAATTACTTATAAGAAACATTCAGGATCTTGCCTTGAAGTCTACATGGAGTACCCAGCAGTTTTTCTGGCCTTGATACAAAGGCAGGCAACAGGGCCAGCCCCTGCCGTGAGTCATTCCTCAGGGGATCATCTCTTATTCCTGGAATTAAATTCTGTCCCTACTAATTTGTGTTAATAGCTTAAAGAGACTGGTCTTAAATCCTGCGTAAGTGCTCACAGTCATTATTTTAGATGTACTATCTACAAAACATGACTGTTTATTTTCTAGCTTTTACCTCTGGTTTTCTTTCCTCTCCCATATTTTAATTCTGATTTGGTTTAATAGGGAAAAACACATACTATGTTCCTGATAACATGCTAAGTATTTCTCATGTGTTATTCTCATTTTATCTACACACAAACAATAATTACCTTTAAAATAGTTATTAATCATATGCAATTTTAAAGTAAAAGCTGGAATCCAGAGAGGTTAAATAAAGTGTCTAACATTGAAAAGGCAAGTTTTCCACATACTTCTAGTATTAGTAGGTACTAATTAATAAGTAGATTCATAAGTAGTAACTAGCAGCTAATTAGGAAGTAGATCTAGTATTAGAATGTAAGTTTGGATGCTTCTTTGAATTAATATTTACTAAAGACCCACAGTTATATTTAATGTATATCTTGTTCTAACAAAAAGTTGAGTAACAAGTAGCACAGAATTGAGAATGACACTGATGATGGAACAAGATACAAGCAACAACCAGAGACACAAAAACAGACCCATGAAGACGTTAGATAATGGAATTAGCAGACACAGATTTAAAACAAAAACAAAAACAACTGTACTTGCCATTTTCTAATAAATAAAAACAAGCTTGAAAATGTTAGGAAGCTGAAAAATGGCCAAAAATGACAAAATATGTTTGAAAAAGAAACAAAAAGAAAATTTTAGAACTGAAAAGTGTAATTGAAATTAAGAATGGTTCAACAATAGACTAGATACAGCTGAAGAAAGAGCCAATAAACTAGAAAATGAGTACAAGAAACTATTCAGAATGCAAAACAGAGACATAACAATGAAAAGTACGAAAGAGAATTAATGATAAGGAGAATTAGTTTGCCTAACATTATTTCACTGGAATCCAATAAACATTAGCTGTTGTTATTACTCTGTCACTTCCTGTTTAAATGTCTTCAGTATTTTTCACTGCCTACAGAACTAAGTATAAACTTGTACAACTTCTACTGAGTCCAAGCTTGTGTCACTCACCGCATGACATGCCAGTAAGTTGAAAGAGAAGGTGCTGGGGCAAGGACAGTGACTTTATTCAGAAAACCAGCAGGCTTAGAAGATGGCAGATTCATGCCCGAAAGCATGGTCTTAACTTAGGGTTGATTTTAGGCTTCTTTTATGTTAGGGAAAGGGGGTGAACAGAAGGGGGCTGTGGTTAGGAGGTGATGTTCAACTCACACATCTGGACGTCAGCAAGGGTCTGAGGAGGGTTTTTAAACTCGCCTTGAGTTGACTCCAGTCATTTTGTTGACATAGGTCTGGCTATGATGTTCCTGTAAACCTATGACAATCCAGTAATCATTCCTGTGCACACACTGTCTCCTTAAGGAAGCAAGGTTTGGGTAAGGGGCTCATGTAAGGGTAATCAATCTTACATGAGCAAAATTCCTTTTGATTATTAACAGCTATGTGCTGGGCTGGAGGACTGACCAGAAGCTTTTTGACCCAAAGATTAAGTCAGCAAAGGAGAAATACAATATGAAGGCAGAGATGACACTTTTTCACTCAGTTATAAAACCTACTCATCTAAATTTCTTTTTACTTAAGTATCATTGATGTACAATCTTAGGAAGGTTCCACATGAACATTGTGGTTTCTACATTCACCCATATTATCAAGTCCTCAAGCATGTCCCCCTCCCCCATTGCAGTCACTGTCTATCAGCATACTAAGATGCTACAGAGTCATTACCTTTTACTCATTTAAATTTATCTCCAACTTCTTCCTAATATGAAATAATAGCTTCATCTATGCTCTTTCTATCTCCATGCCCTTATGTTTTATGTTCTGTCCCACTCTTGCCAGAAAACTGAAGCCTTTCACAGCCATCTTCCTTCCCAGACACAGTCTGATTCCGCACCCCCTCTGCTTTTTCATCATGTTCCATTTATCTGTTAACAATTCTCAAGTTTTATTGCATTATAATTTGCTTGCATGTCTGATGCCACATTTAATTGTATCCTTCCTAAGGGCAGAGATTTTTAAAGTTTTTATTAGAATTTGTTTTTTAGAGCAATTTCATGTTCACAGAAAAATTGAGGAGAAGGTATAGAGATTCCCTAAATACCCTCTGCAGCCACACATGCACAGCCTCCGTCACTATCAACATCCTGAACCAGAATGGTACGTTTGTTACAATCGACTAACCTACACTGACACATCATTATCCCCAATGACCATAGTTTATATTAGGGTTCACTCTTGGTGCTGTACATTCTATGGGTTTGCACAAATATATAATGACATGTATCCACCATTATCATATCATACAGAATAACTTCACTACCCTAAAAAGCCTCTGTGTTCCACCTATTCATCCCTCCCTACCCCTATCCTCTTGCTAGAGATTCTTTTTCATTCATCCTTAGAACATAATATCTGGCACATAGTTGTCCCCAAATAAATGTTTTTACATGGGTTGAATGTATAAAAGAAGGGACAAATTGGGGAGAATCAGAGCTCCTTTGTCATTGTATTGATGCCTGATGTTTTGTCCATTTCAGAATTTACTCATACTGTGCTGTCCTACTCAGAGACCACCCCTAAAAATTACTAACTTTTGGAACCCTGCCTGTTTTTAAGATGCTGATTCAAATGCCACCTTACCCATTAAACCTAAGTCAAGAGTGAGCTCTGGACACTTCCAAGACTTGTTTTATAAATGATTTATTTAATTCAATGTGTCACACTGATGTTTTTTGTTTCAAAAGCTTATGTCTGGATTCCCCAGTGAGACTGAATTATATTTTTATGTGGTGGGTGGTTTTCATCCCCTCACTTTTTATGAGCAAGAAGTGCCTTTATATATTATTACTTTTCATTTGGGATTGTAGAAAATAGCCTTAGAACAGAAAATTTTTCTGGTCTATGAAGAATTTGTAGTTCCAATCTCTTTTGCTTCAATTCAGCAAACTAGGACAGAAAATTATTGGTAACTAATTAAAAACATACAGGGAAGTAAATTTTTGCAGATTTGAGCTTGCAACAGTTTATATAAAAAGCTATAGAGGACTGCCAAATTGTTGTTAAAATAATATAACTTTTCTATGTGCTAGCAGGAGTTATTCATAGAACATTTTCTATCCATTTTCAAGAATTTCAACCATTCCAAAACTGCATCTTTGATGTTATTTTGTTTTGATAATTTAAGAAGAAAATGTTACACTTGTTGCTGGTTTTAAAGTCATCTCTTTATTTCTCCTCTCACCCCCAATGCTGAATATGAGAGGATTAATTTGGATTTTTGAAATTTCATTCATTTAGTTTCGACCATATAGAAGTATGTTTATCCAGGCATGATAGTATTGTGTTTATTCACATTATACAAACATTTTGCACAGATGTCAGCTTTTCATCAGGTTTAATTCACTGGAATGCTTTTCTATAGTTTGAGGGACTTCTGGGGAAAATGCTTTATGAAGGCTTGAATTTCGGTTTATTACTCACGGAGAGACTTCTACTTTTAATAAAATCAATACCCATTTGAAAGATTATGGAGGAAAACTTAGCCCAATCATATAAACAAATTCTGTTATTTTTAGTTAAGGTTAGACTTTGCCACTCATATAATAGTGGCAGTTTTAACAACTATGCTGAGTAATCTATCATGAATTGAGTAATAATACTCTTTCTTCTTGGAATAATACTATAGGGGCTCGTTCTGAATGGGCCTCATGAAATCCAGGAGAGGGAGAGTTTGGATCCAATTAATGCCATTCACCATCTATTTAGATATATCATGTGAACCAATCTTCTGAGCCGATTTGTTGGGCAAATATGTCTTTTTAAGACTGTTTTGGTCTAACTTAGTGATGACTTGCTTAATATCTTATCTTCTCTAATACAACTTATTTTGGTCTATTTTTACTATTTTTACTATTTTTACCATTCTAAAAGAAACAAAACATTCCATAAGCATTATATTTAAAATATGCAACCAAGAATATTCCACATTATAATCTTATAGTTGATACCAATGTTAAGTTGAAATCTCAATTCATGTTCACCAAAGTAATTTCAAGTCTTAAGTGGTAAACTGAGAGATTAGGTTCATGGAAGTTCTATTTTTATTCACAGATAATGCCTCTGAGGTAGCAATTACTGCTCCAGGAACTAGTAACCATAGAAACAGCTCTACAGGCCCAACACCTGACTGCTCACCTCCATCCCCCGACACTGCCCTCAAAAATATTGTAAAAGTCATTCGACCCCAGGTAAGTGCCCAGAATGATATCATCTGTACTAAAATGTATTCTGTTTTTGAATTAGCACATGTACAACACTTACATTGCAATGCTTGGACTATTTTATGATATGTAAACGACTTTTAAGTTAAAAGAAGGAACTTGGAAGAGGATGTTTCCTTCCCTTGAATTCAGTTGATGATAGACATTGAAATCAGTATCCACTTAGAAAAATGAATTTCTTTATTCCATGAAAAAAGTAAGTGAAGCTTAGAAAAATGACTATTTCACATCTTTCACCTCACAATATGTTAATAATTATCCTTCGATCTGTTACATGTTTCTGGTGTTCCCTGCTCTTTCAGTCCTCGTCTCTCTGGACATGCTGCATTATTTGCAATCACTTCTCCATGTTCCAGCCCAAGTTGTTTTGACATATTTCCTTTAAATTCCCTATTCCTTATGGTTTCTAACTAATTGTGTCTGTGTTTGGTATTGCACCTCTCGTCACTCCTTATTTCTCTCCAGTGCTCGTTTTCCTCCAGCTAGACTCTCTTTACCCTTTGTTCTTTCCGGTCCTGTCACTTGTCTGTGCGGGCTTCTTTCTCTTCCCTCTTCTCTTTCAGTTGGATTTCCCAGTAGGCGGTTTGCAGGCAAGCTTTAGAAATAACATTGGGACAAGCTGTTCTGTGATATTTCATTGAAAATAGCACTTATGAAGCTGTTTGCATTATATTTCTGCCAACAGATGGACTCGGAACATGGAATTGGTGGTGTTCTCCACCTGGCTCGTTCTGAATGGGCCTCATGAAATCCAGGAGAGGGAGAGTTTGGATCCAATTAATGCCATTCACCGTCTATTTACATATATCATGTGAACCAATCTTTTGAGCCGATTTGTTGGACAAATATGTCTTTTTAAGACTGTTTTGGTCTAACTTAGTGATGACTTGCTTAATATCTTACCTTCTCTAATACAACTTATTTTGGTCTATTTTTACTATGATCATCCTCATCAATAAGATGACATTTCAACTTTACATATCCACTACATACAGTATGTAGAAAATACTTTCATATAAATTATTTCATTTAACCTTCATCAACTTCAAGGGAGTATATATTCTATTCTAGGGCTTATGATAAGGATATCGGCACCCAAAGAGGCTAAGTTTTGCACTTAATTTGAGATACCTTTCCCTTTCATTAGCATCATAGCTGCCTCCTCCATTCCTGCTCAGAGGTTAGAAAAGTACTCCTGAAGTTCATTGAGGCACAGGTAATATTTCACATGGTGTCCCAATATATGGAGGAGGAAAATGTCTTCTTCTCTTTTGCCTTTGCAGGCAAATTTGATCTAGTCCATTTGTTTCAGAAATAAACCTCGCTAAATCTAGATTTAGATGCTAAATGTCACATGTATTATCATTGGTTCTCTTATTATATGAAGGTGTTTCTGGTGTTAATTGCTGCTATGACATTTCCAGAAATTTTATTTAGGTAGTAGATCATCCTATAAGTTAATGAAATCCATTACTAAACCTATTTATTTTTATGCCAACACAAATTCTCTAATGTAAATGCATTTAATCATTCAATGAATGAAAAACTAATTCCTTTTTAGATATCTGTAATCTGATCAACTCTGAGACCTTATTCTGTAAATCTGTAGACTATTCTATTTTATTTTAGTATATTTTGGTAAACTTTGGTGAAAACTAGAGATAGTATGAAAGCCAGAGATTCCATCTTGTGCCCATCCCTTGCTTTTGTCCATTATTAAATGTTTATGAAGGCAATGGACTCCACCTGCCTGTAACAATGATGGTTTAGGAAGGAAAAATGAAGTGAGAAAGTCAGGAAACTAAGGGTGGTGTCACTTAAATTAGAATCAGTGCAGCTCATAAGTATACTCATGAGGTAATAGGACAGTAACACTAAGGTATGTATTTGGGGAAAAAATATAACTTCAGTTGGGCCCCTCTTCCTTTCACCTCAGACACTGGAGTGCATTATTTGTTTCTCCTTTTGAGTTCTGATCTCCTGGGGCTCCTCATTCATTGTAGAGGGCAGGGAATAGAAAATTCAGTGGAAGTAATTGTGAGGGAGTATAGGGGTAGTATATGTGATTTCAGAGAAGGGTTTGGAGACTAGAAGACATGGATGGGGGACAGCTAATGGATAGAAAAGGGGACTCCCTGGTGTGTTCTGACAAGTCACAGGTGTGTCAGGGATGGAACATTGTCGAGAGCTAACTGTTTGAAAGAAAAGATAATTATTGGTTAGCTTATATAAAAGCCTATATTTTGATCACAGGTTTAGTCCTCTAAAGTGTTTGCTAATTCTGGCTTTCTGTCTGGAAATTCGAGAAATACGAAGTTAGATTGATTTGTGGGTATTTAAACACATTATTTTCATTTACTAATTAGAAATTAATAACATGGTTGAAAGGATCATTTCACTCTTAAATCTGGTGATGAAGTATAAAGGCAACTTTATTCATAAATTAACATTTCTTCGGGCATTAGCAGATGTGCTCAGTCTTATTTTAGGAAGAATGGTATAGAATCGATGAGAGATAAAAGCAGAACTTTTATCTCATTCACTGCAGACACTGCTTCAATAGAACAAATTAAGTTGTTTACCATTTACTACAAGAATGCCTTTATCTAGTCCTCTTTATCCATAACTCTACCTGTAAATAGAGAATATCTACTGTAACCAAGGAGTCCTTCTTTTTAGGAGGGCTGAAGTTATATTGCATGTGTTTCTGATCAGTTGTGTGAATTACTCGGAAGCTGCAGGCTTGCAGTGCTGTGCTGAGTTTGATTTTATCAGGCGTGTTGGTTAATTCCTAAGTCACAGCTGTTAGTGCGTCATCCTGGGTTTGCTCCTTTCACCTTTGCTTCTCTGGGCACGTTGATGTTGTAAAATTCTCCAGATTCTGAAGCATTCTATTTTCAATTCATAGCAGCTGAAATATTTATATGCTACTGGTTTCTCTTTGTTTCTTTCCAGTATTTTAACCTGCAAGGCTGAGTTTCTCTGTTTAGAATTCGCAAGGCTGGGTTCATGTACTTATACTTGAAAATAAAATTGTTTTTTAAATTGAAGCAATACTTGGAAATACTTCAAAAAATGTTATCTTTGAAAAAAAATTTCACTAAGTCTATTGACCTACCAGTTTCTTCTTTCTATTAAATATTTATACACTACTTGCAATAGCTTTTGTGTTTTTAATATTTTCCTGGTGAGGCATCTTTTTCCCTCCTAATTGAAGAACCAGATACAGTTTGGGGAATTTTGACCATTGTATACGTAGGTGTTAGCACCACTTGAAGCAAGGTGTAGAACATTGTCGTGCCCCAGAAAGCTGCCTCTTGCCCTTTTCAAATCACTTGCCTCCATTCCTACCTCAGAGGCAACTTCTTTTCTTTTTTATCACTGTAGATTAGGATTATCTATTCCTGGACTTTATATAAATGGAATCCTACAATGTAGGCTTGTGTGTTTTGTGCGTCACTGCCTGGCTCTCTTCATTCAACATAATGTTTTTGGGACCCACTCCCATTGTTCCCTTTTTTGCTGAGTAGTTTTCCATTGGATTAATATAGTATAACATGTTAATCCATTCTATTGTTGACTGATATTTGTGTTGTTTCCTGTTGTTTGCTATTTTGAATGAATATGCTGTGAATATTCATGTTCATGTCTTTTGTGAGCATATGTTTTCATATAAATATCATGGAGTGGACTTGTTGAGTAACTGGGTAGATTGAGTAGCTAACTTTATAAGATACTTTCCCAGAGTTTCCCAAAGTAATTCCATTTTATAATCCCCAACAGAAACATGAGAATTTCAGTTTTTTCACATTCCCACAAACATTTGGTATACTAGATGTAGATAAAGTGAAGGTTCCTATGGCCAGGATTCTCACCTGGCCCTGGTTGGCTAGCTCTGCACATGTGTGGGTAATGTTGACTCTCTATAAAGAGCTCCTCCTGTTGCTCTGGGCGACACTGTGGCATGGTGCACGGCTACAGGAGAGCAAAGACTGGAGTGGTGGCAGCACCGAGGACAGAGACTGAGATGGAGATGGCTGTGGGGGCAGAGAGGCCTAGAGGCCGAGACTGGCTTGCTGCATGCAGACTCGCTCTGAGTGGATGAGATTCTAGTGATTGACCTGCCACCGTGGGAATAAAGTTGGGTATAAACGCTTTCACCCCAAGGATGTTCCACTGTTATTTTTGGGTCACATTGAATCCATGGCAAACTTGACAATGGGTTTCATTCCTGGGCAAGTTCGCTATGGATTCAGTGTGACCAAAGAAAATGACAGCAAAACATTGTTGGGGTGAAAGGGTTATACCCAACTTAATTTCCAGGTGGCAGGTCAGCCACTAAAATCCCGTTCACAGAGCGAGTCTGCAGGCAGCAAGCCAGTCTCTGCCTCTGGGTCCCTCTGTCCGCACAGCCATCCTCTGGGCTCCTCTGTCCCCACAGCCATCCTCCAGGCCTCTCTGCACAGTTGTCCTGCACAGCCGTCCTCTGAGCCTCTGTCCTCAGCGCTGCCACCACTCCAGCCTCTGCTCTGCTCTCCTGCAGCCTTGCAGCCCTGCCACCGTGTTATGCCCAGAGCACTGGGCGGAGTTCTTTTTATAGAATCAACAGCCATGTATTGCCTACAGGTGTGCAGTGAGCTAGTCAACCAACAGGTGAGAATCCTGGTCACAGAAACTCTCATTTTATCCACTGCAAGACACTAGACTTTCTAATTTTTTAATTTTAGCCCTTCTTATGGATTTGAAAAGATTTCTCATTATGGTTTTAATATGTGCTTTCCTGGTAACTAATGATGTTGAGTGACTTTCCTGTGGTTATTGCCCATTCTTTTTTTTTTTTTTTTTTACATTTCTTAATTAGAGTCTTTATTATTTTAATGCTTTCCATCATATATGAAATGCATACAAAACTAAAAGATATCATTTGAATATATGGTATGATTTTAATAAAGAATGTACAACTTAAA